AGCCGGGAGCGGGACGGGCAGCCCCGCGGCGTGCGGGAGAAGAATTGCGCTGGGCTGACGCGGGCCGGGCCGGGCTTTCGCTCGGGCTTCCCCGGGGCGGGTGGCGCAGGCCAGGAGCCCGCCTCAGGAGGGGGGGACGGGTGCCTGATCTGCCCCCGCCAGCCTGCCTGTCCCCGACACGATAGCTCCTCATCACTCGTGTCACCGCTTGCATTTGATATAAAACTACTTACATTAGCTATAAACTATGTTCTCCCGTCTCCTGAGGCCAGACACCGGGCGTGCTGATGGTCCGGCGAGAGGCGCTGAGAATTTCGGATGCTTACCCAGTCCCTTGCACTGGTGTCCCAATATACGGGGCCTTAACCTTCATTCGGGTACGCCTCTTTCCTTCAGCTGCCCTTGGATAAAAGTAGAGAGGCTTTAAAGCCCAAATAGCATAAGAATTGAAGAGATGGACTTCAAGAAAGAAACACTGTTGGGAAAAGACCCTCAGACACCCCACCACCCGAGGCAGTAGAGCACATCATGAAGGGACATTACGCTGAATGTGCCATGCCACACGGGAGCTGTACCGCCATAGGTAACAGCATGTTCAGGGCAACATATGTACGTATAGGAGCAAGCAGGTATGCGCTCTCTCTGGACCTTGAATCACATTCTTCCTGGTCTCAGGTAACATAGGAATTTCCTAACTGATTAAACATTTGATAATGATTTAAATAAATCCATTATCTTGCCTGGAAATGAAAACAAAGCAAAATCTAGTAATGGAATCGTTTTTAAATTGTCATGATTAATGCAGGAGAACATGCCTTGCATCTGACAAGGTCAGCGTTCACAGTTTGTTGAGATTTTTATTTTATGTATTCAGTTATCTTATACCTTTCAGTAATCTCAGGCTGAAATTTATCCTTGTGAATAGGTAAATTTGGCACAGCTTTCACCTACACCATCTTTTTATAATTTTATCATTTTGAGGCCTTTTCCCAAGGTAGAAATCATTTAAATATCTATTAAAATGTTCTGAGGAAGCCATGCAAGCATAAAGAGGGAAACAATGCCAAAGGTAGAATCAGCCACATGAAAAACAAACAATCCAAATACTACTAACGTGTGCATGTATCCAAGTACTGTAGTATGAGATTTCTGAGCCAAGAGCAAGGAACAAAAAGAATTTATGTTAAAACGAGGAACAACTCTCTTTGACGAAATCAGAAAATAGTTTCAGAATGAAAATTTTGGAGAAAAAACTCTGAGCTGATATTAATAAATTGAATCAGGGTAAGAGTAAGTTCTTTTACTTTCCTGGTGCACTCCAGGTCCTAAGGTGTAGCTTGGTCAAATAATAAGCAAAGAAAAAAGAAGTGCCCAAGGAAACACTTGATAAACGTGACAGAAAAGCACTTTGAAATGCTGCAAACTTTCTGCATGAGTGACATCCATGTAAATGCTATTTACCAGCTTTACAGGTGACTATTTCCTTCTGAAGAAGGAGTGTGTAGAGCACAAGGTAAGAATGAGAAGCCATTTTCTTCTGCATTTAGGTGACTGATATATTTGTATCACAGAATCAAGAGATCACTAGGATGCCAGTAGGCCAATAAGTTAGGCTAACTTAAAACTTCATCACAAAATTTGCTAGACTGGTATTCATTAATCCACTTGTGCCAAGTTCGTTCTTACACCTTGCTAACCATCAGCACTATGTATTAATTTCTACACATTATCAACGGTTAGCATGGATTCAAAGCAGTCAGTCCTTAACAGCTATGTCCCACCTTAGCTGGGAGTACACACGCAGTACCGCAGGGCGGATGCCTCCTCGTCAGTGCTGACGGCTCCGGTCCTCGGTGCTCTCTGCGGCCAGGTGCAGGAACTCTGGATGCAGGGAGACAGAGCTGAAGCAGGTGTCTTCTTTCTGCCCCCTCTCCCAGATTTTGGATCTTACCCTTTTATAAGACAGTGCAATCTCTAGACCATTCCCAGCCCTCCACCTCCACCCTTGGACAATGTTACTGTGCAAAGCACGGTGGGAGTGTTGTTTTCCCAGGCCACTCCAGGTGCCTTATTCAGTTGTCGGGCTGTTTTTTTATTTTGCTTTGCTGCTGCTTCCTTTCTGAAAGCAAAAGCAGTCTGGTCCCAGCTCTCAAGGTCGTGCTTTTTCAAAGACCAGTCACTGACCATCAGTGAGTTGTTTTTGGTGCTGTGGCCTGTGCTTCCAACTTGCGCCCGCGCTTTCAAGGCCTTTGTTACATCCCACAGTTAAACCGCACCTTGTAATCAAGCTCTGGTCACACAGCAAGTTCTCATAACAAGTTGACAACCCCAACAGGCTTTGCACAGTTAGCCAAAGGCCAGGAGCCTTTTACCAGCACCAGGACTTTTACAGGGCTGCTGGGCGCAGAAATACACATACAGTTATACCACATCCGAACCCAGGCATCAGCACACAGAACAAGCTGATGGTAAAGTTGGCTTAGTGGCTTCTGTCATCATTGGAGCAACAGGACACTGCTTAAGCTACTGCAAGGTGGGAAGCAATAGCTCCACCTGGCGTAACAACTAATAACTGATTTTACTACTTACTATTTTACTTCCTACTGCAGCATTAAACACTTCAGAGTATGGTGTAGTACAATAACAGTTTAGGATCTCCTGAGAACAAGCAATGAAATAAATGCCTGAGTACAGTGGAGATGGTGAAGTCTCCATCATGAAAGAAGTATAACAATCATTAACATAAGGCTTATGAGTAGCTTCCGTAAGAAGCTGTTAGTTTATGATCTCCTATTTTTTAAAAGGCTGCTAGGAAGCCTGTTGCTGTAGAGAACCAAAATATGCTGCCAAAAAAGCCATTCTAAGTTGCAGGAGTCATGCATTCTTCGTCAACAGTGGCAGATTAAACATATTTTCAGGTAAATTCTTGAATCTCTCCTTACAAGAATCTTTACCCCAGTGAAGGAAACCTTCAAGCTCTTGTCTTTGGCCTTTGCCTCTACCTTCTTTTCTCTTATTAAACACACTAATTCCTAATTTCATACGATGCTTTTCATCTGTCTATGTATTCTGACCCATCTTGATAAAACAGTTAAAAATAACCAAGGGTTAGAAATAACTATTTATTATGAAAATATTGTACAAATATTTATGTCTGATTTCTGAAGCATCAAAATATATCACAAAGAATTTATTGTCTAGAAAAGAAGTAAAAAAAGTGCATTGTCATGTATGTATGTGCTTAACTTTGTGTATTAATACAGGCACTAAAAATGTGTATTAATCTTCAAAGGTCTTG